AAGGCTGCCTCCAATCTCTGGGCGGCGCCGTCGATCGAGACCGATCCTCCTTAAGTTAACCCATCTTTCTTTGAATGTATCTGTAAAGGCTTTCTTTGTAGCCGGGTGTGATAAAGCAGACACGACAATTTTTGCAATGTGCTTTGTACCAGTGCCCCGGGCGAAGCATAAAGATATCTCGGCAATCGTCAAGAAGTGGTGGCTGTTCAAAGCGGCCTCCCACATGGTCCTGCAGTCCTTGACCAATGGAAGAACAGAGTGGTGACATAACATGTGATCAATTACCCCAGTGCGACCCTACCTAGAAGTTGGAGCCCCTAGGAAAGCAGCATTAGTTGCTATGCTATGCTATGCTATGCTATGCTATGCTATGCCATGCTATGCTGCGCTATGCTATGCGATGCTATGCTATGCTATGCTGCGCTATGCTGTGCTATGCTATGCTATGCAGTGCTATGCTATGCTATGCTATGCTAAGCTATGCTATGCTATGTCATGCTACGCTGATCTATGATAAGCTGTTTTATGCTATGCTATGCTATGCTAAGCTGCGCTATGCTATGCTATGCTATGCTATGATATGCTGCTATGCTCTGCTCTGCTCTGCTCTGCTATGCTATGCTATGTTGCGCTGTGCTATGCTATGATGTGCTGTGCTGCGCTATACTGTGCTATGCTATGCTATGCTGCTATGCTCTGCTATACTATGCTATGCTATGTTATGCTATGCTGTGCTATGCTGCGCTGCGCTATGCTATGCTATGATATGCTGTGCTGCGCTATGCTGTGCTACGATATGCTATGCTATGCTTTGCTATGCTATGCTAAAGCTCAGCGAAGCTAAGATGACGATAAGCTAAGCTAATATACACCTGAGCTAAGATGAGGCTAAGCTAAGCTAAGATGAAGTATGATAAGCTAAGATGAGATAAGCAACGCTAAGCTAAGGAGACGTCACTGGGGGAACCACGGGGCGGATGCCAGGGGAACCGCCCGGGGCGATTTCTGCCCGCCCCTTGAGCTTGCACGGTAAGAACCCTTCTAGGCAGAGCCTAGGTAGGGAATTTGTGAGAAAGCCTCTGGAGAAACGAGGTCCATCGGTGATGTACCCAATCCTCTGCACGTGATGCGCTCCTCTACGAGGACGTCGAAGAACGTGTTTGCAATCGCCAAACCATGCGCGACAGAACACTCTAATAAAAGATGCCGGTTGGTGACGCTATTGATGGACTGTTTACCGTGCTTTGCTTGGAAGACGCGCTTTCCAATATATCCTGCTTCGCCCGCTCCTTGGTCAAGTAACTTCGCATTGTAATCCCCTATCGCCGCTGTCGTGCTGTGGGGCGTGGTCGGCTTGATCGTTTTCTGGAGGTCGTCGTAGAAGTCCTGTCTGTCTTTCAGCTCGTACCCGCTGTGAGGAGCGTAGGCGGAGACGAGGGTGAGCATACCTCCCACGAGTTTGATTCGAAGCGTAGCTAATCTAGGGCTGAGTGCTTTGAAGGCAACGATCGCGTTCCAGGCCCATGGGGCCACAATGAAACCAACTCCTGCTACTGATCGACTCTTCTCCACCAGCTCCCCAGACAGACAAACTGAGAAATTCTCATTGATGGTGTACTCGGTACCGTGGAGTTGCGTCTCTTGGATGCATACAATATCGATCTCTCTGGACTGCATGGCTTGAAATAGCTCCACAAATTTGATCACTGAATTGCCCCTGAGACCCTCCACATTCCAAGTTGCAATCCGCGGAGTTGCCAAAGGTTTGCAAGAACGACGGGGCCTGCCCCAACAAGTTTGCATCACCTGGGGCTGCGTATCCGAACTCTCAGGCAAGATGCTGTCGTCGAAGGTCGGCTCGACGACCACCATGGAAGATCGTGTCAACGAAGCCGTGCGGATGGGAGAAGAAGTAGGTGTACAAGGAGCCAGAGGAGATGAAAACGAGGACGAATATAAACATGAGGTCTGTGGGTGGTGCTGCGGCCCGGTATCATTGCCAACGCTCGCTGCAGAAAATGCGTGCGATTCCGTAGAGACGAGCGTAACGGTATCTTTGCCCAGGGAACGCCCAATGCCAGGAACAGCATGCGGAAAAAGATGTGGTCCATAGCTGTTGGCTCTCATGCCAGGCTGGGTGATACCTGGCAAGTGCCTTATTTCCTAATGCCCTTTTGACTTTCCTTTCGGCTGACCCTTCATACCGTTCATGGAGGAATTTACCAATGCGTTACACTTATCTTCCAGCTCCTTTAGGCCATCGTGTTCGTGGAGCTCTTTCCAGTTCGCCCATGTTTCGGCCCATTTCTTCTTCACGCTATTGCCGACCACCGACACCGTAAGAGCGTGTTCTCCGCCCACGCTGACCTCGTATTGGGAGGCGTCCGTGATCTTGATGATGTAGGGGAGCTTGAAAGTGTCCTTTAACAGATACTTGAGTCCAAAGCAATAGTTCCGTGCCGCGCGTTCCATTGGCGGCCGGTCGGGCGAAGCCCAGATATATTTATCATTATGTTGATTACGTGAGTTTTTGATGAGTGCTACCGCTGTGTCACGATTTGCGGTATCCGAGAACTCCGCGAACAGTATGTTGGTGGTGTCCCCTTTCATGTACATGTTGTGGGGTAGAGGGCCACCACCGTGCGATAGCTGATCCCGCAACCAAGAAGAAGCCGTGTTGACCATAGTGAACCCATCCAAATTCTCAAACATTGCTGTACAAGAGCGTGTATCGTTCGGGTCGTTGGGAGCACGGCGGTCTCCTTGGCGTTTGAGCTGTCGAATTTCACGTTACAGTGCTTGCAGCTTTCCGTGTGTATTTGTGCCTACGATCGCTTCTTACTCCTTCGTCGCAGAAGGTCCTGGAGTAGGCGCTCGCGAAGCATCCCGGGATTCCAAAATCTCCAGCCGCGTCGTAATGTCGTCGATTGCGCTGGAAATGGGAGCAACCTTAGCATCAATATCTGCCTGTGAAACTTCATGTGTTTCGATTGCATGTGCATCTTGGCGTATGGGGTCGAGCTGCTCCTTGAGAATCTCTCTGAGGGCACTCATCGTCAACGACCCCCCCGTGATCCTGTTGGTGCCACTGCTGCTGTCCCCGGCTCCAGCCAGTTGAGCTTGATATCGTTGCTGTAGTGCAGTAATAGTCTTTGACTCGTCGAGCCCGTCCATTTCTTGTAATGGACTGTGGATCCGGTGCTGCTTGAATAAGTGCTGGACAGGTTTACCTGGCGCGCGCTTGTCGGAAGCAGCCTGCATAGCAGAAGACATCAGTCGGGTATCGGAGTGTAGGAGGGAGTATCGGAGTGTAGAAAGTATCGGAGTGTAAAAAGTGCATCGGGTGACTTACAGCACGTTCTTGGACCCTTTGTGCAGCCTTGAGCCAGGAGCCTTCCCTCCCCCAAGCCTATCCTTTCCCCCCCTGACGTTGACCCTCACTCCCGCTTGCCAGACATCTGGCGGACTGTTTGGTTTTTCTCAACCGCAGCGTTTTCCCATTCCATTCTCCTTGCCTCCTTCCCTCTCATCTCCCCCTTCTCTCCCCTCCTCCCCTCCCTCCTTCCTCCTCCTCTTCCCCCTCTCGCCCTCCTCTCCTCCCCTCCCTTCTCCCCCTCCCCGAGGTTCTCCTCCCCGCCCTCCTCCCTCCAGCCTCCCGCGGCCGTCTTCGGTCCCTGGGACCATCAAAGATGGACCCAGGAGGGAAGGAGTCGGCACTTCTGAGGCCGTGGACTGCAAAACTACGTCGTCGGACATCCGTGCCAGCAGCGCGCGCAAGCGGGCGGCGCGCCAGGCGGGGGTGGGGCGCCTTATAAGAAGGCGGGTCGATTCTGAGAGTACGTGGGGGCTTCCCAGAAGCCCTCCAGGCTTCCGAGTGGCCTCCTCGGAAGTCTCCAGGCCCTTCCCAGAAGCCACACTCCTTCGGGGATCCCAGACATCCGGCGTTTAGTTTTTTCTATGGTGAGTCAGTGGGGATTCGGAGTCACCGCACGGCTTTAGGACTCGGATCGTTCTCTGAGGACGCCTCGGGCGACTGGGGCCTCCGAGGTCCCCGAACCGTACGGTGACGGACCGCGCGGTGAGGTCGTTGGTTTCGGTAGCACGTCATGGGATTTTAGTATGTCCTCGCAACTCCGTTTTTAGAGCGCAGTAGCGTGCGCTGGCGTCCCGTAGTCGACGAGCAAGCACTGATGTAGTGTCGGATCGTGTCGGCCAGCGTCGATTCTCAAGAGTCAGCAAGAAGGCATGGGAGGCCCCCGTGGGTTGCCACAGAAGTTGGGGATTCCGAGGTCACCACGCAGTCCGCCACCACACTCTTCTGGGGTCCCGAATGTTGCGCGCCGCCAACCGCCGCCTCCCACGGAGCTTCCGGCGAGCTCCCACCGTCGGTCCCCCGCCGTCCAGGCCGCCCTTGTCGACGCCGCCCTCGCGGCCCTCCCGGTCCTCTGGAGCCTTCGGAGGGCCTGCCTCTCCGCGCGAGCGTCCATTCAGGCCCACCAAATGGGGTCCGAGTAGACGGGGTCGAAGGATGGCGCCGCATCGCCGATTCATCGCCGATGCGGCTCGATGCGGAGCCTGATTTGTTTTGCGCTGGCGTCGCCGACGTCGCTGATGCATCGCCGATGAATTTCTGATGAATCGGCGATGCGGCGCGATCCTCCGACCCCATCTGCTTAGACCCCATCTAGGAGGCCTCCAGTCTAAGAGGCTTGACGACTTGTCCCCAATCCCAATCGTCTTGCGGGGATCAAGCCAGACCAATCGAGGTGCATCTACGCAGATAGCGTTTTTCTCATCCTCTGGCGCGTAATGGTCGTCATCGGGGCCAGACTCTTCCCCCCGAGCCCCCCCGGGGAACGACCGTTACCAGAAGTCATAGAAACACGATCGTAAGTTGTTGGCATCGCATCCCGATGTGTCGAGGCAGACATCCAGATTTTTTTCCTGAGAGGCCTTGAGAGGTGATGGAGCCTCCCGCGCGAGCCAGGGGACAGCAGAAGCCGTCAAGTCGGACTATCACCACCGCGAGTTTCGCCTCTCCAGCTGACCCCGGCGAGCGCGCCCCCGTGCTGCCAGCCGAACTCTGGCAGAGCATCAGCACCGGCACGCGCTTCGGGCCGCCCAGGACGTCCCAGCGATCGCGCGAGAGGCAGGGTCCAGGGGGGTGGCGGGGCCAGTCTCGGGCGTCGGGATCCGTGGACAGCCGCCTCGGCGCAAGCCGTGCGGGCTCGGGCCACCTTGGCTTGGGTTCGGCTCGTCTCGGAGGCCGCACGCAGCGGCAGCGATGGGCAGCGCGGCTGGCACCGTGGCGTCCAAACAGGCCACGAAGTACAAGGAGTCGTCCAAGCAGGCCTTTCCTAAGAAGTACCACGACGAGGAGCTCTTGGGCTCGAACGGGACCTACGAGGTCGACGAGGCCACGGCGGGTTCCTGGAACGCCGAGCTGGTGGCGGAAGATGTGCACGCAGCACCCAAGGAGGTGCAGACCAACACACGGGCAGATCGCTACAGGTCCAGCAAGGAGTCCGCGGGCACAGTCCGTTCCTCGAGCAAGATCAACAGGAGCCCCAGGGAGCAGCAGGCAGGAGCATTCTCGAGAGAAGTCTCGACCAACGACCGCGTAGCGTCCAAGAGGCAGGCGGGGTCATTCTCGAGAGAAGTCTCGGCCAACGACCGTGAAGCTTCCAAGAAGCAGGTGGGAGCATCCTCGAGGGAGCCCTCGACGAACGGCCGCGAGCCGTCCAAGAGCGCCGACACGAGCAGCAAGGACAGCCGGGGGACAGGCTCGAAGAAGCTCATGAGCGGGCTCGACATGAACGTGAAGGCCCAGCAGGTCACGGTCCTGGGCCGTGACACGACCAGAACGCTGAGCCACGCGGCGCTCTCGAGGGAGGGCATCTTGAGGGAGCGGCGCGCCAGCTCGGACGACCCTATGGGCGGCCTGGCCGCGGGCATGAAGGTCGTCGGCACCAGCAAGGTTGGGCAGGAGATGGGCGCCGGCACTGTGATCGGGGCGGGCAACTCGCCTGGCATGGTGATGGTCCGGATGGAGGTGGGCGGCCGGGAGATGGCGCTGTCGGCCGCGCGGCTGCAGGTCGTGGAGGAGGGCTCGCACCTCGCGGGCCAGCTCCGCATGCAGCATAGCAGGCGCAGGCACAGCGTGGCGTAGCTGCGCCATGAGACTCGGCGGGGTGCACGCGGCCGTAAGGAAGCGTTCCGATGACCCTCCGGACGTGTGTTAGCCCAATGTGAGTGAGTGTTTTCCCCGATCAGCTTCATTGGTAGCATGGGGCCTGTGTCGGCCCTCACTGCAGCGCCAGCGTTGTACTGCAGGGCTCCAGTGTGCCAGCACACGTGGACGCCAACACACGTTCTGAGGTCGAACGGTGCTGATTGTGCCGTCTCAGGTTCATGCGTGGTTTCCGCGCCCTGGTACTGTCGCCCCCACAGCCGAGCGTTGAGCCGGCGCGCTCCTGTCCCAGGATGTCTTGCCAGCAATTGAGTATCACCGAGTTGGCTGCTTGCGGCAAACCCAACTAGCGTGCCAGCGCAGCATATATCATATGACGGGGAGCCGGGCGGCCAGCCTCTGGGGCGGTCCACGTTTTCAAAACTCCCCCCCGGGGTCCTTTCTTTTAGTCCCGGGGGGGCGACCCTTTTCGGGGCGCTTCGGGACCGGGCCCAGCCGCAAATCGGCCCCCAGAGCGATCACACAGCCGTCCCGGCGGCCCCAGACGGCCCCGAGCGACCCCGAAGACGGCCTCCAGGGGTCTCAGACGGCCCAAGAAGCGTTCCAAACGGACCAAGAGGCCCCAAGACGGCCCAAAAAGGCTCCAAGAGGATCCCGACGAGTGCCCAAAGAGGTCAAAATTACTGAGTCCCCTTATGTTTTTGAGGGAGTTGGGCGTTCTCATCCCTTTTGGCTTCCAACGCTCTTAGACAATTCAAGCCCCAAGACGCCGTCAGAGACTTCTCGGATGCCCCAAGATGACTCGGGAAGGTCCCAGGACTGCCTAGGAGGCCCTCCAAGACGGCCCAAGAGGGGCCCCAGAGCAGCCCCAGAGCAGACCCAGAGGGCCCCAAGAGGGGGAACACGACCCCACAATTCCAGCCTTCCATCCCCCGAGGCCCCCAGGAGGCCAAAAGTGGCCCCGACGAGGCGCCTCGAGGTTCCCAAGAGGCCTCCCACGAGGCCCCAAGAGGCCCCCAAGAGGCCCAAAAGAGGCCCCAAGAAACCCTAAAACGGCCCCCAAGAAACTTCTCAGCCGCCCTCGACGCGGTTCCCGAGAGGCTTCCCACGGGGTACCACCGAACACCCAATATGCCTCTGACACACAGCCTAGGCACCGCGGTGGCATTCTGCCTCTCTGTCTCTCTCCATAGGTGTGTGCGCATGTAAGTAAGTAAGTAAGTAAGAAAGTAAATAAGTACATAAGTAAGTAAGTAAGTAAGTCAGTCAGTCAGTCAGTCAGTCAGTCAGTCAGTAAGTAAGTAAGTAAGTAAGTAATTAAGTAAGTAAGTAAGTAAGTAAATAAGTCAGTAAGTAAGTGCGCTTATACTTAGACATCTCTCTCTCTATATATATATATATTCGCGTGTATATATATATAAACATATATACCACGGGGGGGCAGGCCTGGGGCCCGAAAACAGCTGCCTCGACCCTCCATGGGTCCATGGGAGTACCAGGGCTCATTTTCCTTGTTTTTGTTACGAGGTTTCGGCGTCCCGGGCCTCGGAGGCCGCCGCGATGGTCCAGGACATTTTCCAGATCCTCGACGCGAGCTCCAAGACCATTCCGCAGAGGGCTCCAACAGTTTCCAGGCCACCCCAAGAGGGTTCCAAGACGGCTCCAGGAACGATTGCATGCTTTCAATCCCCACATCCTGAGTGGGGAACATCCTCTCCTTCTCCCTCCCACCTCCCGCCTCCCATATCAATACCATGCCTACCATTCCAGCCTCCCATAACTACCCATACAATACCATACCATACATACCTTACCATACCATACCCGCAAGAGCGAGCAGGGTATCGGAGTACCACACTATTTACTAGGTTTCGTGCCCCTCCCGCCCTTCCAGGGAGGCCCCGCCTGAGCGAGGAGGGTGTCGGAAACCCGTACTATTTACATGGCTTCGTGCCCCTCCCTCCCCTCCAGGGAGGCCCCGTCTGAGCGAGGAGGGTATTGGAAGCCCATACTGTTTACATGGTTTCGTGCTCCTCCCACCCCTCCAGAGAGACCCGCCTGAGCGAGGAGGGTATCGGAAGCCCATACTATCTACATGGTTTCGTGCCCCTCCCACCCCTCCAGGGAGGCCCCGCCCGAGCGAGGAGGGTGTCGGAAACCAATACTATTTATATGGTTTCGTGTTCCCCCCGCCCCTCCAGGGAGGCCCCGCATGAGCGAGGAAGGTATCGGAAACCCGTACTATTTACATGGTTTCGTGCCCCTCCCTCCCCTCCAGGGAGGCCCCGCCTGAGCGAGGAGGGTATCGGAAACCAATACTATGTACGTGGTTTCGTGCCCCTCCCGCCCCTCCAGGGAGGCCCCGCCTGAGCAAGGAGGGTATCGGAAACCCATATTGTTTACATGGTTTCGTGCCCCTCCCATCCCTCCAGGGAGGCCCCGCCTGAGCGAGGAGGGTATCGGAAACCCATACTATTTTCATGGTTTCGTGCCCCTCCCTCCCCTCCAGGGAGGCCCCGCCTGAGCGAGGAGGGTATCGGAAACCTATACTATTTACATGGTTTCGTGCCTTTCCCACCTCTCCAGGGAGGCCCCGCCTGAGCGAGGAAGGTATCGGAAACCCATACTATTTACACGGTGTCGTGCGCCCCCACCCCTCCAGGGAGGCCCCGCCTGAGCGAGGTGGGTATCGGAAACCCGTACTATGTACATGGTTTCGTGCCCCTCCCACCCGTCCAGGGAGGCCCCGTCTGAGCGAGGAGGGTATCGGAAACCAATGCTATTTACAAGGTTTCGTGCCCCTCCCTCCCCTCCAGGGAGGCCCCGCCTGAGAGAGGAGGGTATCGGAAACCCATACTATTTACATGGTTTCGTGCCCCCCCTCCCCCCTCCAGGGAGGCCCCGCCTGAGCGAGGATGGTATCGGAAACCCATACTGTTTACATGGTTTCGTGCTCCTCCCTCCCCTCCAGGGAGGCCCCGCCTGAGCGAGGAGGGTATCGGAAACCCATACTGTTTACATGGTTTCGTGCCCCTCCCATCCCTCCAGGGAGGCCCCGCCTGAGCGAGGAGGGTGTCGGAAACCCATACTATTTACATGGTTTCGTGCCTTTCCCACCTCTCCAGTGAGGCCCCGCCTGAGCGAGGAGGGTCGGAAACCTATACTATTTACATTGTTTCGTGCCCCTCCCACCCCTCCAGGGAGGCTCCGTCTTAGCGAGGAGGGGCGCGGTGGTTTCCCCCGCGCAAGGTGCGCATGTGCCGCCGCGCGCGCGGCGGCCCATGACCACTCGCACATTGCGTTTTTTCCGTGCAAGATGCGCGTGGGCACGCGCGGCGGTGCATAGCCTCTCGCGCGCTTGGCTCCTCTATGCAGGATGCGTGGGGGCCGCTGCGCGCGGCGGCCCATTATTCGTCGCGCCTGCGCTGTGTTTGTCCATGCAAGATGCGCGTAGGCCGCCGCGCGCGCGGCGGCCCATGGCTCCTCGCGCATTTTTTCCACGCAGGATGTGCGTGCGCGGCGGCCCTGGCCCCTCCCTTATTCTGTCGTGCAGGATGCGCGTGGGCTGGCGCGCGCTCGGCGGCCCGTGGCCTCTTGCGCATTGTGGTTGTCCATGCAGGATGCGCGCTCGCGCGTTGTGTTTTCGCAGAGAAGATGCGCGTGGGCCGCCGCGCGCGCGGCGGACCTAGCCCTTCGCGCATGGTTTTTCATGCAATATGCGTTTGGGCTGCCACGCGCGCGCGACAGCAGTCTAGGGCCCCTCGTGCATGGTGTTCTTCCATGTAAGGAGGTGCGGTTTGACCGCCGCGCGCGCGGCGGCCCATGGCCCCCGCGCGCTTTGTTTTTCCATGCGAGACTCGCGTGGGCCGCCGCGCGCGCGGCGGCCCGTGGTGCCTCGCGCATTGTGGTTTTTTCCCCGTGCAAGGTTCGCATGTGCCGCCGCGCGCGCGGCGGCCCATGGCCCCTCTTGCAATGTTTTTTTTTATTTTTTTTTGTTTTGTTTTTTCTTCCGTTTTTATGCAAGATGCGTGTGGGCCGCCGCGCGCGTGGCTGACCATGGCCCCTCGCGCATTGTTGTCTCGTTCGAGATGCGCGTAGGCCGCCGCGCGCGCGGCGGCCCGTGGCCCCTCAATCATGGTGTCCTTCCAGGCAAAATGCGCGTGGGCAGCCGTGCGCGCGGTGGCCCATGGCCTCTCGCGCATTGTGCTTTTCCACGCAGGACAGACAGGATGCGCGTGGGCCGCCGCGCGCGCGGCGGCCCTGGCCCATCGCGCATTTTTCTGCATGCAAGATGCGCGTGGGCTGCCGCGCGCGCAACGGCAGCCCTTGGCCCTCGCGCGTGGTGTTCTCCCATGCAGGGTGCGGTTAGGCCGCCGCGCGCGCGCTGGCCCATGGCCCCCGCGTTTTTTTGTTATTGCTGTTCTTCCGAATTGGGCCGGCCTCCGGCCGGCGCCGCCGATCCGGGGGGGTGAGAGCGAGCCGTCTTGGACATTGCAGGCCCAAGAAACGAATATGCCGAAAGTATATTGTCCCAAGAGAATGGGTCCATTTGATAGTCTTTGGGCATTCTTGGGAAGTGTCGTGAGGGGTCCTGGGGGCGTCTTGGAGGTTTCTGGAATTGTCTTCGGGGCATCTTGGGCGGTTCGATCGATGTTTTCGGCGATTCGGTGCCTTCTTGCATTGTCTAGGGGGCCTCTGGGGTCTCTCTTGGCTTCTTCTTGGGCTGTCATGGGCGGTCGGGGCTCTGGAAGTGGAGTTTTCCATGCCCCCCTGCCCCCGGGCACCGAAAAACGTCGGCGATGGCGTCGGACATATCCGCGCGCACCGATGAACGTCGGACATGACGTCGGAAGTAACGCGCACCCCCCCCCCCCTGCAGAGCGAAGCCCGAGCGAGTTCAAATCCACGCTCTCAGAAACTCACGCGCCGGATCGGCTGATTCCCCCCCCCCCCTCGCGCAAGACGCGCGTGGGCCGCCGCGCGCGCGGCGGCCCTTGACGCCTTGCGCATCGTGGTTTCCCCCGTGCAAGGTGCGCATGCGCCGCCGCGCGCGCGGCGGCCCATGGCCCCTCGCGCATTGTTTTCTTCCATGCAAGGTGCGCGTGGGCCGCCGCGCGCCCGGCGGACCATGGCCCCGTCGCGTGTGAGATGCGCGTAGGCCGCCGCTTGCGCGGCGGCCCGTGGCCCCTCGCGCATGGTGTCCTGCCGTGCAGGATGCGCGTCGGCCGCCGCGCTCGCGGCGGCCCATGGCCCCTCTCGCATCGTGTTTTCGCAGGCAAGGTGCACGTGGGCCGCCGCGCGCGCGGCGGTCCATGGCTCCTCGCGCGTGGTGTTTTCATATGCAAGATGCGCGTGGGCCGCCGTGCGCGCGGCGGCCTTGGCCCCTCGCGCATAGTATTTGTCCATGGCGTGCGCGTGGGCCGCTGCGCTTGCGCGACGGCCCAGTGC